TGCGCGCTTTGCGTTCTGGTACCTTGGTCCAGGATTCTGGCCTTATAGGGCTTACGCTCCAGAGGTCGTTTTTCCGAACAGTTCAAGAGATAGGGTTTTTGATTGGTCCTGGGACAAGACTTCCCCGGCAATCACTATTTTAAGGACTATGGGTTCCTGATGGTGCGTATCCATCCGAACATCCTCAGACAGACAGTACCATTATCAGGGCTGCTAGCCCTTGGAAATGAGCTAAACAACTAACTGATTACCTAGATCCATTGCTCCTTATTGTTCTCCGGTTGAAATCATGTTAGTTTTGTTTGTTGAGACTACTATTTCTGTTTCTTGTATCGTATCATCAGTAGTTGGTATTGAGCATGAAAAACTCTAGATTCTACATCTGCTGCCTAACAGAAAGATGTAAGATCGGTGTTGCAGCCATTTCCCCATCATCTCACTGCTGCAGCACAAGATAATGCTACAGCACACATTACAAGCTAGTGCGCGAGTCGTGCCTGCTGCTAACCAACGTCACCACTGCTGAAATAACCAGCGCCTTGGAAACCTTGTACCCACGACCATGTCTGGCCTCTGCTCAGAGCTACATCATAGGCAGCTGTTGGCATTGTTGCTGTTGTTGTTATTGCCGGTGCGGCTGCTGCTGTCGCCTGCATCATCACGGACATCCCCATCACCACCATCATGATTCTTTGCTGCACTAGTTACTCTTGTCGACTTTGCACTCAGAGCCGAAATCTTAGCGCCATCCTACAGTCTCTGACTGCCTCTTGGCCTCTGCGCAGATTTACATCCAGTCGTTTTATTCGGCACCTCCTGTTCAATTCACTTCTACAGAGATTGGGATGTCAATGAGGAAATTCGGTGCTGGCGGTGAGGGTAATTGCTGCAGTGTTAGAGTTAGTGTCGGGGGGGGAGGCAGCCGTAGATCGGTCAGGCTTGACGTCGTGTCGCATCATGTCCTTGCGTGTCTTATTTCATCATTTCGCTCTGCCAGCTTGCTTTTGCTTTGCAGCTCCTTTACATGCTGACTTCACTTCAGACATGACCGAATGCAGACCTCACACTTACTTTGCGCTTGGGAGTACATTCGTGGGTAGATCGGCCTATCCATCCCAGCTCTAGGCATGTGCACGCTTTGGCACTGGTTCTGACAGAAGGACGACCCGTGTGAGCACTTGATTCGCACAAAGAAAAGATACTGACGATCAGAAAGAATGGAAGACTACACCCTGAGCTGGTCACTGCCGGGTGGATAATTAGGAGTCTGTGGCGATCAAGACGTTGAAGCTGTGCTACTGGCACAGGTGCCTGGTGTATCGGAACAGGGCATTATGATATGTTGGTACAGGTGTTGCAAGAGACTGACATCATCAGCTTGTCCTCCGCAAGCCATCCTAGACGGTCCTAGACTAGCAGGGCTGCCAGACCCCACGCACCATGATGGACGCGAGGTCACAGCGAGGGCTGAGCATGAACGCACACCCAGAAAAGCTAGACCCCTGCATTCGGGAATTCGGAGGTTCTTGATGCGACCTGCTTCGACTATGGATATAAGTATAAGTGCCATACCCATTCTCTTCAAGCGGCAACCGCATCAAAGTTCGTGTCCTCCTGGAAGCGTTCTAGGACACATCACAGCCGTCAGGTTCATGCGTCCGAGCCCCATGTTCCACTTCTCAGGACACAGATCAGGGCTGCCATGTGCAGACACTCGGTTCCTACCTCGTCGCTCTTCATCTCCGCAAGCGCTTCGGGCAGTTGTCCAGGAAGCCCAACACTTTCTGCTGAGCCCTTGTCGGAGACCTGTTCCCGCAAGACCTGCATATTCGGAATGCTCATGACTTGCGAGGCTTGCGGCTTCGAGATCTGCCTCTTGCTGTTGAGCGCTTTGACTTACAACTACTCCCAATGGACGCAAGCAGTATTTCCATAGGGAGCACTCCAACGCCTTGTCCTGCACAACAGCCATCTTGACCGACACCGGCTCCTGTAGCACGTAACATCCGTCGTTCTCAGAAAATCTGGCTTCTGTCTAGTTCCCACTATCTCCCAAAATGCCACTCGCTGACACGTGTCTACTTTCGGAAACTGCAGCGCATGCGACTCCGAACGACTACGCCTGCTCTGTTCAGGAACCTGTCCTCAGCGCTTCTAACGGAAGCGTGACGCTTTGGCATGTCGTCCTTCAGGGACCATCACAGGCTTCTGTGCGTCTGCTGAGATGAGAAAATCGCTCTTTGTCCAACACGGCTCGGCCAAAGGTGATAAGGTGTTGCTCTCTGCTGAAACCTTTCAGCTTGACAACACGAACCCTGCACATTCTTGCTCACACCAGAATGGCTCACCTTCGTGGCTTCCGACAGAAAACCTGAAACACAACACGCAACACTTCCGTCCACTCTGACAGAACTGGCAAGAACCTGACACAGGTGGCGACAGACGCATTCTCGCATTGCCTCACCTGGAAAATCCCGAGCCCTGCAAGCATCAACGCAAGAAGACTACTGTGTCAGATTGGGTCTCAAACAGACCAGAATACCTTAGACCCCAAACCCAAGACCTCAAACCCTCAACCCTAAACCCAAAACCTCAACTCCCAAACCCCAAACCCCACACCCCAAAAGCATGGAAGCTCGGCGATGCTAAATAAATAAATAAGTAAATATATACATATATATAATATATATAATATAGAGGGGCCTTAATTATTAGAATAGGGTTTGGGGTATATTATGCTATATTTTTAACAAGGAACCCCCAAGACAGGTAATTATGTAGGCCCCTATGTTATATTCTTTGCTTCAAGAGCCGAAGCCTCGGGACAAGAAATAGCCGAGGTCGTGTTGGACTTCCGTGCGGGCGCCTGCTCGGAGGGAATCTGGAGGTACCATATTGGTTTAGGGTTTAGGGGTTTAGGGTTTATAGGGTTTTAGGGTTTAGGGTTTAGGGTTTATAGGCTTTAGGGGTTTAGGGTTTAGGGTACCATATTCACAAACAAATCATGTGTATATATGTGAGCATCTAGTTATAATACTGTCTGCAAATACTAAAATAAGCAATAATCTGTGTATATATTTTATGCATGTACATATACGCACATGTATACTATGGCTTTCAAACTTTATAAGGCATATTATATATGACCCAAACTCGTGGTTATACACATATACGTGTATACATATATATATATGTATATATATATATATACAAACATATATATATATATTATACACAAATAGAATTCAGTGTATACTATGCCTTTCAAACTTTATAAGGCATATTATATATGACCCAAACTCATGGTTACACACATATACGTATGTGTGTATATATATATATATATAATACATATCTATATATGTATAGATCGCCACAGACGGATGTAACGCAGCACTTTGGAAAAAGCCTTGCGCTGGTAGGCTTCAGCTGTGGAAGCTCGAGGATACACGCCGCTTGATGTGCCAGGTTTTGGAAACTTCTGCGCCCATGAGGCGTGGGAACAAAACTCCCTCTGCTACAGGTTCTTTTGGTCCTAAAAGTGCCGGAAACTTTGGGTATCCGGATGGATTGAAGTGGAGGATGATACAGGAGTGGATGCCTGGCTCGGGTGTGGATGCCTGGCTCGGGTGTCTGGGCTCCGTTGCTGCTTTCATGGGAGAGGGAGACCTTGTCGCACCTCTGTTTTCAGATGTTTTCAGTGGCACAAGATGTGTTGCGGCCCGTACTTCATCGGCTTTGCTAAGGGTGCCTCATGCGGGCGACTGACTTGAGGTGAAGATGACTGATTGGCCCACAGACTTCCAGTGCTCTGCGCCGAGGTCGGGGCTGTCGAAATATCTGACATCCTTGCTGAACTCGCGGCCAGCAATGAATCTAACAAGTGCCAAGCCTTGATGCGTAGCTTTGAAGGAGGTGACACTGGTGGCTCAGGTCTGACCTGAAGCACCCCAACTCGGCGGTTTGCACAACAAAATGGAATACCAAGGGCTCACCTGCATGGGAACTGGCAAACTCCAGTCTGCCATCAGACGGATCTTCCTCTGGTTCTACTTCCTGCATCTTACTGCCGCAAAGGTTCCTCCCTTGCATGGCTGCTGCACGTGCTTGCTGCTGGAGGCCTCAACAGCCGGACACTCCGATTAGGCCAAGCCTCCCTATGCCTATGCCAAGCACAGCATCACTGGAGAAGCTACTCCGAGCCCTTTTCAGTGCTCCGATCTTCAGGGCCCCCAGTGCTTGCCATGGAACACTGATGGCGATATCGAGACACTCCGCGAACCGGGTCTGCTGCCGGCATCGCAGGTCACAGCCTTCCAAGCAGAATGTGTCGCGACGGGCATGTTTGCAGCCACGATGCAGTGCGAGACATAGTTGGGCGCTCGCGGCCCAACGATTTCACGTCCAAAGTGCTATCATGGAAAGTGCGATGTTCAGGGCACAAGTCGGGTGCAACATGTTGCAACTTACCCTGTCTATCTTGTGGCATCCTTCATCTTCTGCGTGAGCAGGTCGAAGGAATGCCTGCGCACCAAGCCACGTAACCACGCAGACCCAAGATACAAATTCACATTGCATGGCAGCCTTGTGAGAGTCCCTTAAATCCTGTTCTGCATTCCTGTCATGAATTCTCAATCCCGAGACCTCATGAAGTGCTGGCCGGGTGCAAGACTTCGTGATGCTTGGCCGTGATGATGGCGCGACAAGAAAGAAATCCGTCAAGCCTTTGGTACAGGAACTGCTTTGATCCAAACGACGGAGGTCGTGATCTATGCATCTATCTGTGGACAAGGCCGCGAATAAACAGAACTCGGACTCGGGAGCATTCTGTTCAAACTCAGGAATGTTTGCAAAGGGATGTATGCCAACAGCAATTCTGAAGCTTTCTGAACGGCTCAAACACTCCATCTGAGAATTCGCCGCACCGCCCCGGCAAGGCTCAGTTGCAGCATTCTATTCGCTACATGTGTACAACTTGCAACCCCTGTCAGCTGAGTTGCAGTTCCTGGTGCATCTCGGCATCCAAACCCCTGCAAACAAAGAATGTCTGACAATGCCTCATGCGCATGTCCACCCAAGCTGACTATGCACCTTCGACTGTGGCATGGCTTTTCCATGCATTGGGTTCAATGCTGCCCGAATGTGCCCCCGTGCCTGGATGACCTTTGCTGCGCGCCAGCGACCGCAGGACGAACTGCAGGGTCGACCGCAGGACGAACTGCAGGGTCTGCTTGCACAAGCCGAACTGGTCCTTGGCGTTGCGTACCAGTCTTGAAAGCAATTCATGTAAAGTTCCGCTCCTGGTCGACTCTTGTATTTGTAGCCGGGTGTTCGTGCCATCCCCCGTTGCAAATCCTCTAGGCAGATATTACAACCAATTAAGCAGAGAAGTGGCGTGAGGCACCATCCCCACCGTCGACTTCCGACTGCGACAGTGCCTCAATTACGCATGCTCCGCAAGTTCGCCTGCCCTCCTCTGATTCGTGAATAAACATGAACATCCGTAGCCGCGAATTTCGAAGGTGTATCCAATGTGCCTTCCGGTCCTGACAGTTGCACCTACCAGCCTACTGCAGCGAGTGCATCTATGTACTGATGCTACTATATGTACTTTGTGCAACATACTATGTACTACATACCATATACGTTTTACAAGGTGCCAGATCTTAGACACTAGGTGCTATGTTGTACATTCTATACCATAACTATACATATATATATATATGTATATTGTATACTGTCTGCATACTCTGTACCGTGTCCTCTGCACTGTATACTGTAAACCAAACAAGCCAAACCTTAAACAGATACTATCTGATATGTACTGCAGATTGTATCAGGACAACGTATATACTGTACACCGTATACTTTATACTGTATGTTGTATACCGAATATTATGTACCTTTTGATCTATACAGTATACGCCCTACGGTATTGTACAAGGTATATAGTTTCTAATTGCAATATATATATATATATATATATGTATGTATATAGATTTGTTACTATTAGCTGTATACTGTATAACATGTAGTGTATGGTCTACAACGGCAAAATGTATAGCTCACAATGCATGTAGTCCTCTCTTGGTAGACAGGCAACATCCATCAGATGCAGCGGCTGGGAATAGTCAGCCTCGGAGGTGATGTAAACTCACAACGAAAGCATTGGCGCTGAACGGCTCAGGGCTTAGGGTTACAGCGAATGTCTTTGCAGGCCAGGAACTCTTTCGTTTTCAGCCTCGGGATAAGTTCGTATCCACACCTAAAGATTTCTGAAGATTCGCCAGCAGAGTTAGAGTAAGTTGCTGGTACGCTCAATGGTTCCCCAGATTCGTGCCTTGTTGAGGGCGCTGTCTAGAAGTCGGATGAACCAAGACTGCAGCTCAAAATCTCGGGCAGTCACCTGCTCAATGGGCGGCGGCAGCTCTTGCGCTGCATGATGGCCATCATGCTTGCCTGGGACCATTCTAGGGTAGCGACGTGCAGGCAGTTAAACTTAGAGTTGCACCGTTTAGCAAAAAATTTGGCGCGGCAGCAGGTCATTGGGTTTTTTCTCACGTAAAGGCCACAAGGAACTGGCCCGGGTATGTCATGGAAAGTCCTAAACCCTACATCCTATACCGCTATACCCTAATCCCTAAACCCTAAACGAGCCGACCTGCCCCTCGCGTCGTGCGGACGTAGCGTAACGAACCCATAATCTCTGCGTACTTAGCTGTATCTGCCGGTGAAGCATGGGCAGTTCTCTTTATTTTAGTGTCCCTTTTAGGGTCCTTCTTATAAGGATGCCGTACTATTGGGGGACCTAAAAGGAGACCCTAATTTAGAGAACTACCCATATCACACACCGTATAGTGCACATGCATACATGTATACATACCTACATACTTACGTACTTCGGACATACTTGCACACATACAGAGATTATTCATACAAACAACTGGAGAGGCGGACAGACACACAGACAAACCGCGGCACATGGATGTATTTGTGAGCTACATATGTACCCATGCACACCACAACTGTTTGACACGACTACCAATAAGGAATCTACCTCCTGTACAGCTACAAGCGACGGCACAGTACATCAGAATATATGATTACCTACTTAATCCTACTTACCTGTTACGGTGCGCGCTCACACACGCACACACACGCTCTGAGGCATGAATCAACCGGAAAGTAAAGTGTCGAGGTATGTGTAGATAACCCAGTGCAATAACAAACACACACATTAACGTAAAGGAGCTAGTTAATATCATGGATGTGATGTGAGGGGGGCGGTTAGGCTTATCCCCATCTTATCCCAGTC